CACGCGCCGCGTAGTAATAAGATTGAGCGCATACATAGTGAGATCTACATACAGAGACGGTTTAGAAAATATTAATTTGACCCTAACATAGAAAAGCTGTGGTTATTTATGGTAAAGAGTGAGTGGTGCATCTTAAAACAATGTATGATGAGTGAGGTTGTGCCCGAAAAAGATTTTTTTTTTTTTAATCTTGTCACTGAGGGCCCTCTTTGCTCAAGGGCCCCTGGGCACTTGCCCAGGTTGCCCATATGGTTAATCCGGCCTTGCCAACAGTGGTTGACTCTCCACCCCCAGAGGACATTAACAAGAACAAATGTAGTTTCATAATGTTGTATTGCAGGACTTTGGGGCATTGATGCTATAATAACGATTTATCTTCAACCAACAGAAAGAGAGAGACTTGGAGCTGGCTGCAAGAATCGGTCAATCGCTTCTTAAGAAAAACAGAACTCTGACCGAGCAGAATGTCTATCTGGAGGAGCAAGTGGGACAGATCACAGAAGAGGTCTGCTCACACACACACACACACACACCCCCACACACCCCCACACACACACACACACACACACACACACACACACGCACACACACAAACACACAGAGAGAGACACAGGGGAACCACATAATCAAAACTAGTACCAGGGGTAACCATCACTTTGAGGGAAGAGGCTTCTGCATTGTTTGGTTAAGTGTTTCTCTTGTCGTTAGGAATTATCCATTTGTTTAGCCAGTGTTTGTTTATCTATTTACTTTCTTAGTGAACAGGTGGGGAGAAATGATAGGCTCCAAAAGCGCAACACGCTTGTTTCTATTATTCCTCCAAGGGACTGCTGTAATTTGCTTTATGTAAAGCTGCTTTATTTTCATGGTAACACTGAAATGACTGTTTGCAGTGCATGGACACATGGCTCTCTAATGCAGTGTGTGTTTGGTTTTGTTAAAGTTTTGCCAGGCAAATAATGTTGGCAGTCACCAATATTTGCTCGAATTCATAACATACCGGAGGACATAGTGTGGTGCAGTGGGTTAATGAGTTGGTGTTCAGATCAGGGGGTCACAGGTTCAAACCCCACTGCAGTCAGCATGTCGTTGTGTCCCTGAGACAAGTCACCCCAAATTGCTCCTGTGGTGATTGTCCACAGTAT